GTAAGTCTGTTGTGGGTAAGGTGTCAGTCTGTCGTAGGTAAGGTGTCAGTCTGTTGTGGTAAGGTGTCAGTCTGTTGTGGGTAAGGTGTCAGTCTGTTGTGGTAAGGTGTCCATGCGTTACTTGGAACTGAAAATGGTTTTGAACTAACCATCCAGTGTATCTTCATTGAAGGGTGTCACAGACTCTCACAAACCTGGTTGGGAAGAGGGTTGGTGAAAGAGCTACATTACTTAGCGAGATGTTTTCAAGTGATGCTGCTTTGTCCAGCGGTCTTGTTGACATGGTTGTCGCACAGGAAAACCTAATGGCAGAAGCTCAAAAACAGATGAAACGATGGCTTGCTATTCCAGGTAGATACAGAAGTGACCCGTAACCATTGTCATTAACTGTGACAGTTAACTTCCCATCCTTTTTTCTCCTCCAGATTCAGGAAGATCACTTACAAAACACACAATCCGTAGAGAAATGCTTGAGAACATGAGAGACGACAGGGAAGAAGACATCAAAGACTTTGTTAGTTATATCATGCGGGAATCCACTCAAAAATTTGTTCAAATTCAGATTGATAACATTAAACAGAAAAGCAAAAAGTAAATTTCAATGTAGGTCGTTAAACGACAAAAATATTGTTCAACACTGTGTGAATGTAATGTTAAACTATTACTCTATGATGTATTACTTACAATAATGACAAATGTTATCTAGTATTGGTACTTTATTTCATTGTTCAGCATTTCCAAAATGCTTCGTTATCTTACTACATTGCCTACTAATTTTTACCAGAGTTTTTTTTCCAAGTGCCATATTATGTATGATGTGCATTTATCGTACGCTGATCTCCCCTCGCAAGGGGTGAATGTGTGCAAATCAAATTGTGCCTTTTTTATCCTTCTTAAACAGTGGGATGTCACTGTTAACTTGTTTCTATAAATTATATATTTACTTACAGTATAGTGAGTATTCATTTACCTGCTTTAACGCATGCATTTTTGCTGCTAATCGCTGACTAATGATGTAGTATTAAAAACAGTGCTTTGGATAAGACACCTGGCGTTACCAGGCTCACGGAATGTTTATCCCATGGACTCAATGTCCAGATTTTCACTCAGAGATAGTTTTTTCTCCTTTTTCTTCTTGTTCTTTCGTTTCTTCTCTTTGTTGTTTGACGGAATCTCATTTTCAAATCCCTCGTTGTCCTGAGCAAATGTATTGTCGTTTTCTGACCCTTCAGGTAAGATTCTTTGTTTGTCACTAGATCCCGCGGGTGATTTACGGGAAACTTGTTCAGCATCGTCTCCCCAGGCTGCTTTACTTTTGAGAGAGACGGCACTCCTTGGTTTCACTTTCTTGGCTTTCTTTTTCTTTTTCTTTTTCTCCTTCTTTGATGTCTGTTCTGGATCGCTGTCATATTTAGGGAAGTTGCTGTCGTCAACTGACTTTATTTCTGATAGGAAACTGTTTAATTCTGCATCAGTTGCGCATCTAGTCCTCTCTACGTCGTTCAAGACTTCAGACAACTCGGACTCGCTTGCCAAAGGAACACTAGTACTTAACCGCTGCGCCTTACCCGGATCAGGGGACCTTGATGGTCTTGGAGAGTGCAGCAAAATCGGTGTTCGTAGACCACTTGGTGAGGCGCACATACTTTTAATTGATTTTGCTGGACTAGGGACTATTTTTTCTTGCCTTGGGTCTCCTGAGGCATCAAGAAGGCTGTAGTCATGATTGGGTTTTTCATCGTTATTGTTGTCACTTTGACCACCTGAGTCATCAGAACTGGACCCGGATGAACTGTCATCTTCTTCTTCGTCATTGTCACTTTCTCGTGTAGTAAACCTGCTTTCCATCTCCTCGTCTCTCAGTTTCTTAAAGCGGTATGCTCTATAAACCTTTTCAAGTTTTTCATCGTCGTATTTCTTAAGAAACTCTTCAAAAACAGGAATTCCGTCGGCCAGTTCGTCCTCGAAGTAATCCCAATCAACTTCCAACAATATTTTGAACATCTTTTTCTTTCTCTCTCTGGAAGTCTCGGTGTCGAACCATTTGGTATGCCTCATATTCTCAAACGTCATGTTTCTCATATGGTGCATGATACTGTCTGCATTCTCTACAATAGTATCACAGTTTTTCTCCAGTGCTGATTTGGGTTCTTTGTATATTGGCATGATGGCGTTGCCAATGGTTTTGCCAATATTCTCCTTTAACCTATGCACCATGAAATTCACAATTTCATATTCGTTGGACTGCTTATTGACATCACTGTTGACCTCACTGAAAGAGTCGTTGATGATTGACAAGAACATGTTGATGAGAATGAACACCATGGTAACCGTGTAAAAATAGAAAAAGGTTGGTCCAATAATCCGATTGGCGTCCGTGATTTCTTTAAGAGCAAACTTGCCTAAAATTGTATCCATTAAAGTAGCTGAACTACGGAGAATGGTTCCAAATCCGGCCATACTCTGCCCGAATACAAGGCAAGCAAACTGTGCATAAGCAAAGAATGCCATCCCATAGATGATTAGGAACGCGAAGATTCTTGGTAAACAAACTCTTAACGTCTGGGCGAGAAGGGACATCCTTCGATTGAACCGGAGAAGACGAACGATTTTAAGGAATGATAAGAACACAATCAAGCCCATCATAGCATTGATCCACTCATCTAAAAAGGCGGTATAATGAAAGCTTACGAACTTGTTGTGGTCCATTCGCATGGCTTTCACTGAGTCTCCTGTGAACTTGATCCTGACGAAATACAATATGACAAGGGACAAGGATAACATAGTGACAAATACCTCAACCAAGCTCCACGGGTTCTTTAAGTGACCTATTCCTTCCTTCTTGACCATCTTAAGCTCACGGAATATAAAATAGAGTGTAAAAAGAAGATAGACGACTTCACAGCCAAGAACGAAGTACATATCTGCTCCAACGTAGCGATAGAGCTTGAGTGTCAAGATACTGGGGTAGTTGAAGAGCCCGCCTGTTGGTAACTGTTCGTACAATAATGTAATCACGCAGAAGAAGTTCGTATTTGCATTGTAGATTGACAGTTCTGTAAATATGGCTCTGGTATAGCGATCAAGCCAGTTGTCATTTCGGAGTGAGTCCAACACTGCCTGGGCTTTAGGGCCATTGACCTTGAGAGATGTTGGTAGTTCCTGGACATAACCTATGGGACAAACACTCATGATCAGATCATTATTCTCTACTCTCATACATACTCTCTCATACATACTCTCATACATATTACAATCAACTCGTATACACCTAATTGAAAAAACGTCGGGTTCAAAAAAAGGTTATACCATCAAAGCTAAGACCGAAGGGGAGCATGGGAAGACAAACAATTATGCTAATTTCATGCGTATTGCAGTTTTCCCTTCCTGTGCACATTTTATGCATCATGGCTTTGGCATGTTGTTAATCTAGGTCGACCGACTTTGCTCTACTGTACATTTGTACATGTCTATATGCAAATATCATACACATTTCGGAGTACCCAAAATCCTTTTCGGTCTTAGCTTCGATGATTGAAGAAATAGAAAACGCGCGCGCGTGCTGTGTGCTGTCATAAAGCACGCGGTGGTTGGCAGAACACGAGAGAAGTGTTAGGAGAAGTACGACGCGTAGCAAACTGCTTCTAGACACTTCTCGAGTGTTCTGCCAATCCCCAAGTGCTTTATGACTGCGACACAGCACAGCAAGCAAGTTTTTTATTTCTTTTATAAAATACAAATTACAATAATAGATAGGAATGAAGCACCGGAAAGTGCGCGCGCGTGCAATGTGCTCTCATAAAGCACGCGCTCCAAACCAATCAGAACGCGACATTCATAACAGTTATTTTATAAATGACCTTCTCGAACCCGACTCCGTTTTTTCAATTAGGTGTAATTTCCACTGAATAATCGTACGTACCTCCAGCTTCATAAGTAGCCTTGTAGCCCCAGTAAGCGAACGTCTTCAACTCTTCTCCTGTTTGGTAGTCCCAGGCAGTCTTTGTAGCTGACTGTGCAGGTAGGTCAGTCGTGTTAGTCATAGTAGGTGGTTCTTTCCAGCCAGGTAACAAGTTTCTACGATCTTCTTTATCAGGTGAGTAAAAATCATTGCATTCAGGGATGGCATCGTGGAAGATTTTGAGGTAAGTGCAAGAATCTGAATTTTCACAAAAACATAAAGTTACCAATATGAAAATTAATCCCATTCAAAAATACAGTTAATCAGAAAGTAGTAAAGCTGTTGCATTCGGTCGTATTTCCGTGTTTCTTCCCATCCCGCATTGCGGCGTAGGTATCTTCAATGACGTTGGATAAAATAGTTATACAATGCTTTTTCCTGACAAACCATGGAATATTACACTGATCTCACTTGTATTTTCTTGTCTCATTCGCCTGGAGACCTCATGGGCTATTCCATGGTATACCACTCAAAGTCATTGTATATCTAGTATATACTTTAGGCTGCGTTCATAATGTATAGCAGAGGGGCAGAGGTGAAAATTTGAAATGTCCAGAATAAGTCTTAAAACCCTCCTTAAAGTCGTGCAAAAAAATACGATCCCCCCCTAAGCAAGGTATGTAGCTTCTTCCAAAAATTGTGCATCCCCCCATTTTTCTGATAAAAATTTGTCCATCCCCCCTTTTTCCTACCAAAATTTCCCCGATCCCCCCTCAATTTCACCTTCCCTCTGCCATACATTATGAACGCAGCCTTAGATTGACGAAACGTAAAATGCTTGATTGAGGATTAATTACCTTTTTTTATTCGTAACTGTCGAAGTCTCACCACGGCCAGAATCAAATCAGTCGGTGTGTCAGCAACAAACCCCAGAGGGTAGCTTTGAAGATCGTTGTACCATTTATCCTGGTATATACTAGGCAACACAGTCGTATTCAGCCATGTCCAATAATCATTGATCTTTGATACCTAAATACATCACATCCAACCAGTTACAATTAGTAAATGAGTACAAACACACGCTAACGCCCTTTCAACCGTCCCAACATTTGACCAAACATTTCGCCAACATTTGACCCAGCATCTAGCCAACATTTTTAGCCAATATTTTGACTCAACCTCGACAAATAAATGTTGGGTCAAATGTTGTGTGGGTCAAATGTTGAGTCAAAGATTGGGACCGTTTTTCAAAGCCTTTAGTAGCATACGTACCTCACTGAATTTAACTTTTCCACTATACCGGGAGTTTAGAAAGATATTATGAACGTACTTGTTAACTTGGTAGGTTGCTGGGTCTCTGTTTCCGTAACTGACTGTCAAAACAATCAACAGAAAGAACACGTACCACACAAGTTCCCGGATGATCGATTTCATGTGTTTTTCTTTCATACGCAGTTGACGTGCGATTTCTAGTTTGGCTTCGTCAGGTGGACGGTCCGTGATGAGCTTCTTGAAGCTTTCTTTTTCATCGTCATTCAGATCCTGTTGTTCAAATGCACTACACGTTATTAAAAATATCGATGACAGTAATAGATGGTACACATGCTCCAGTGGGTGCACAGGCGATGGAACTATGTCTAAACTAACAGTCGACTTGGGAAGTGGTATGACGTTCCAAGGATTTGCAGAACCAAAAAAAGGCGAATGAGGAATGCAGATAATAAAAGGGAAAAAAAGAAATAATGAAGGAGTGAGCGGACCTTCAGCTTTTGCGGGGGGGGGGGGGAGTGTACGTGCACCCAATGCAGCCCCCTTGGTTACGACCATGTGCTCTATTTGGCTAACGACGACAGTGATTTCTGCTATTAGACATTGCAGTTGGTGCTGTGTGAGCAACATAATCATTCCATCGTTTCTTTCGTAACTTTAAACTTGCCCTTTGAGCCACGGAAAAACGTTGGATTTATTTCCAAGAGGAGTTTTTTTCAGCAATCGTATTTACAAGGGGAACCAAGGGCATTTACCAATGATAACCAATTGACTGACTTACCTTAACATTTTTGTGCAGCCATTCTTCATCCGTGGATAGTTTATTAGCGTCTGTCAACGGATCATTCTCAGCCTTATTTGGGTCTTTGATCAAAAGGGCAAAAATCGATGCGAGTAGGAAGACTTTGATTGGTTGAGATATGAGGACATCTTGTATGAAGGATATGGTCATCGACATCAACCATTGTGCTGACTTCTGTTCACCGAATGTTAAACCATAGAAAATAACAAACACTCCAGATGCAAGAGAACTTCCTATAGCAAGTACATACGCCACGTACACAAACCAGTGAGGAAGACCTTCTTTTTTAGGTTTTTCATCTTTCTCTTTCCCCACTTCGATGTCGATCTCGTTTGGACTAATTCCTTCTGATGGAGCAATTTTGACTTTTGTTTCTTTGGCACGTGCTTTCCGGAAAAGTTGTACAACGATAAGATTGGATGGAAATACGACAAGACTGCTGATGACACCAATTGAAACTTGTGCAAGAGAAAAACTGAAACCTGCGATTTTGATGGATTCCTTTGGTCCCTCTGATGCATCTACCTCATAAAACATGACATTGGCTAACATTGTACAGAGCAAGATGGACAAGCAGCATGTTAACCGCTGGACACGTGTAAAAGTACTGCGGGCCGGGCGCGTTACCACTGAAAACCAAAGGTGCCCGTCCGTCAGATTCTTGCGTACCTAAAAAAAGAAAACAACAGAATATGACTGAACATATCGAAAACGTCGACTAGCTATAATAGACCCTTTTCGAGTGTTCCAAATTACCGCTGTGTTTCTTGATTACAGACTCATTTACTCAGGCTAAGCCTCGAATCAGTGTCTAATTACTCGCAAATACCAACGGTAAAGTAAAGAATGCACAAGTTCAACAATACAAACACTTTGAAAGTTGACGTTCCTTGACTGGAACACGTGAATATTCCTCACAAAATCGAGGCTAAGCCTGAGTAAATGAGTCTGTAATCAAGAAACACAGCGGTAATTTGAAACTCGAAAAGGGTCTATTAACAAGCGATCAGGCTAAGATATGTTCTGTCCTCTGTTAAAAAACGACTAGAGCTGTGGACACCAAAAAAAGTCAGAAATCACGTGACCGTGCGCGAGTGTTTTCTTTAACTTTTTTGGGGTGTTCTACAGCTTCGGGAGTGTTTTATCAGAATACAGAACATAGCTAAGCTTTATTCATTTGCTTTATGTAATAGATTTTCACGAGCAGAAAGAACGTAAAATTTTGAAAAACATATTTATAAGCGGTTTTTATTTTGTATATAAAAAAATGGATTTGACGTCATATCTATTTCTATCCTCTGATAAAGCATAGCTTTTCAGCCAATAAGAGCACGCGCTCGTGAAAATCTATTATATATTGCATGTTTGAACATACCTCAGTGGCAAAGAGCACGTTAAACTTCGTCAATTCGTTACTTGTAGCAGGATATAAGATGCGTTCAATCTTGCCATCACCTTCATCTACAGCTAACCACCTGTCACACACGAACCACCATCGCTGTTCTGTCTGTAAGTCTTGTATCATGACCCGCAATAGATTCCATGACGGTTCCCCACCACCATTGTTATGCCAAATACGTATATTCCTGATGCTTCCTATGGACTGTGGTGCCGTCATCAGGAACGCGTCTACCCCGCCGGTACGGAAGGTCTTACGCACAGGGTCTTTGAGTACCCGAGGGTCACTTTCTCCAACTGAACCATTCATGACGATTGATACTTCAGCACTTGTTCCAGCTCCACGGATGAATCCTGTGTGCACGTGGATCTCGTAGCAATAGGTATCACGTGGGTCATTGTCGGGTAAAGGACTCACTCCAGTCTAACAAACAAAATATTTTTTGTTATATCAGCCATAAATACTCTACTGCATGACACTAGAGAAAAACGTTTGCGCATGCGTACACGTCAGCATGTTTTCTAAGAATTTTGAAGAGTTTGAGTGAGAAAATAAATGTTTGTTTTCTCCAAGTATACAGAAAAGTTCGAGAGTTTACTTTTGACAGACCAAGATACTGTATTAACAAACACAATATGAAAGAATTAGCCTTATTTAAGTTTCAAGCATGGACACTAAGTTTTGGCATTTTTTGGAGTCTAAGGCCTAGGGCAAACGTCGAACTTTCCATGCACCGAACTCATTAAAAACAGTGGATATCAGGTGGTAATGAGGCTGCATTCTTTGATGTAATTAAGTTCGATCGGTGCATGGAAAGGTCGACGTTTGCCCTAGGCCTAATTTATCAGGCATTTTAGAAAGTCAATTTTAAATATGTGTTGACTAATTTGCTTACGGATTCAGAGCATGCGCACTCGTGTTATTGTTGCGAGTTGTTTTATAGATTACAGAATGGAAATGAAATAAATACCATCCTCTCATACTTTGCGTGGGTAACACTTAATCGTCATTGGTTAACATGGCCTTCGTTCCATGATGGAACCCATGACCAAAGCGGTAAAAGACAGCGCATTTTCACTGCAAAACACCCGTGCTTCAAAACCAATTTGTTAACTATACAAACTTATTTTAAAAACTTTCAGTTCTTTACTGACGTAATGTAGGAAAATTTCGTATCAGTTTATAAATTGTTCATTTCGTGTGAGTATGAAAAGCTTACCGCCATTGTGTCATGAACGAGTATTTTGATTGGATATAGAATGACATTGTGAATGCTTTACCGTGACCATGTCCTACCTGTTCGGCATCACGTCTGTCCGCTCTTCTGGCTGGTATCAAGAAGAGAAAATAAAGTAGAAATACACCTAACACGGTACTCAGACAGACGTAGGCATCTTTAAGGTTAAAGTCCTTAACTTTCTTCCAGTCGATCTTGTTTGGCGGGACAATGAAGCTTGAACTGAATGATGTCAGGTGATCACACAAGCATTGGATTCGTAGCGGGGTCGTCTTTCGCCCAACCTTAAAAACACGAATAAATCAAGTTGTGTAGATGGAAATACTGGGTTTGAATCAGCTGATAAAAGTATTGGAGTCTCATTGTTTGTTCCATATGTTGGTTTAACACTGACCACCATGTAATGTCAACCACAGAGAATGTTATTGTTGGGATTCACTTGACGTCATTTCCTGTCTCGTGTACAACTTGTGATTCAGCTGACGAACATTCCGAACGAGACAGGAAATATCATCAAGCGAAGCCAAGTTATAACAGATGTAAGGGTTTTTCGTTTTTCACGAGGATGGGGGAGGGATCTGCTGGGATTTCGTAAAAAATGTATGACCCCTTCCCAAACTGATTTTTTTAACGTGACTATTAAAACTGTAAATGTTCTTTTTAGCTAATTGTTCTTGGGTAGGACCCCCCTTAACGCCCCCCCCCC